ACTCACTCACTCACTCACACACACACACACAGACTGTCACAGTCACACACACACTCACATTCACACACACACACACACTCACAGTCACACACACACAGAATGTCACAGTCACACACACTCACTCAGTCACACACACACTCACTGACTGTCACACACACACACACACACTCACTCAGTCACACACACAGTCAGTCTCACGCACGCACACACATACACTCAGTCTCTCACACACACACTGTCACAGACACACACTCACTGTCAGTCTCACACACACACACACACACACACTGTCAGTCTCACACACACACTCACTCACTCACTGTCACAGTCACACACACACTCACACTCACACACACACACACACACTGTCAGTCTCACACACACACACACATTGTCACAGTCAGTCACACATACACATACACATACACACACACATACATACACATACACACACACATACATACACATACACACACACATACATACACATACACACACACATACATACACATACACACACACATACATACACATACACACACACATACATACACATACACACACACATACATACACATACACACACACATACATACACATACACACACACATACATACACATACACACACACATACATACACATACACACACACGCACGCACGCACTCACTCACTCACTCACTCAGTCAACGTCTCACACACACACACACATTGTCACAGTCAGTCACACATACACATACACATACACACACGCACGCACGCACACACTCACTCACTCACTCACTCACTCAGTCAACGTCTCACACACACACACACACACACACACTGTCACAGTCACACACACCTCTAACGCAGCACAGGGAATGGATAAACAGCGACTTTCAGAAACAGATGCTAGAAAAACCTTGCATCATGATCACATCTGTAGAAAGATGTATTAAAAATAGCCCTCATAATTATTACAAATGATGGCTTATCCAAGGGTTTGATTTGTTATCAGAGGATATAAAACACGTACCAACCCAGATATTCACGCAACGCCATTGATTCGGGCCACTTTCTCACAATCAACAGGGGAAAATCAATTAAGAGAAGAGCAAAGTTAAGATAAATCACACAAAGTACTTTTAGCCGGATGAATTAAACAAAAGGAATAAGTAGCGGATAAAAATACTCACAGAGAATGATAAAAGTTAGATTACGTCTACAGACGGAAATGTACAAACTTTGGACTTGTGATACATAAATTACAGCTAAAAGAGTTGAACTGGATTAGGACGCCAGAATTAAAAGGTGACCAAATAAAATCAAGCAAAAGTCGATACGAGACACTGCTAAATTAGTGAACGTCCCTCAGTTTACATGAATAGAGGCGTCGAATCTAACGTTTCTGCTGGCAGACGCTGACAGAGTTCTGACGGATCACGGGTCTGTGACAGAAACCAAACCGATCCTCATCCTCTGAAACTCCAGCCCGACGGGCCTCGTCCGCTTCTGCTGCACCTGCAGGACCAAACACACACGGGACGTCACCGGCGCACAGGAAACAGACACACAGGAACAGGAAATACCACGGGAATGAGAGCGATACACATGCACGTTCTTAAGAAAGAAGTTAAAACCTTAAGATAAAGTCCAAGAAGTTCAGAAGAATTTTCTTCAGTGCCGAAATATCTCAACTATTTTCTTGAGGCGGAAGGAACAGGCTTTAGCGATGTTATGTGCTGAAGATGAAGTCCTGTTCGCTTCACAGCAGTAATAGTAATATGCAATGTCTTTATGGCTAGAGTTATGCTGTAATGCTCAATATTAAAATGATCTTTACGAACAATCTGTTCAGGAATTCAAAATCAAAGTTCTGTCTTTAGAACAATCTTAAGAAAAAGAGATGAGAACATTATCAGTGTTTCTGGGAATGCAAAATATTTGTAACTTTATTCTAGAGTCAGAGAATGAGAACATATCAGTTCAGCAGAATTTCATTCTTCAGAATCCCACAGCAGAAGCATGAAGAACTGACTATAATAACAGGTAAGAACTGTTATGATTCTGAGTGCTGTTCAGAAAGCACATGTGAGAGAGCAAACGGCCGGCTGGAGCAGGAGCAGAAGTGTTTCTGAGAGCATGTGTTTGTGCTGAACGAGTGCTAGAAACACCAGAACACCTTCACAAAGCAACCGGAGCTGAACACGAGCGCCAACCAGACGCCTCGTCTACTAATGGAGACTACTATGCATGCTGGCTTTAAATATGGGCCAGATGTATCTGAGAGACTGCAGTCATCCCGTCAGAGCAGCCGCAGGTTCCTTTAAGAGCTTCAGAACAACCTCGACATCATTCAGCACGTTCAGATTTCAGAAACAAAACGCAATACAAATTTTCAATTGGTCAAATAATAGAACATTTGTACCATTTGTTGTTTTCATCGAATAAAACGCTTGATTAACGGATGTATTTCCATGGTCTTTCAAAGACTCGTTCAGCAGTAAACGAGAGGAAGGATCTGTAGAAGCTCGTGTTCAGATCATGTGATGGAGACTCACCTGAGACGATCAGCAGGAGTAGGTTCTGACAGCAGCTGAATCCAGACGCTGAACACTCACACCTCCTGCAGCGCCACAGCACACGCATTAGTCTCACACACACACACGCACTCTCACACACACACATGCACTCTCACACACACACACACACTCTCACACACGCACACACTCTCACACACGCACACACACACGCACTCTCACACACGCACTCTCACACACACACACACGCACACACGCACTCTCACACACACACACACGCACACACGCACTCTCACACACACACACAC